ATGGCGCATATCATCCAACTCGCGCTGGAGAGTAGACAAAGCCTCAGGGTCTGCCATCGGGTCGGCCCTTCGGGAGGCCTTTCTTGAGGTCCCTCCTCGGCCTCGATTGGCTTTTAAGGGTTTAGAGTGAGCAGAGGGTAACTCCTGGTTCACATGGCGGGCAGATCTCCGTGGAAGATCTCCCTCTTGCCCTGCTCGAACCTGGTTCTCGACCATTCTAGCGTCAAGATCTCGCTGAGGGCCGTTATCAGCGTTCAAACCCCTCCATTCTGTCGTATTAGCAGAGTTTGCTGGCTACACCATCTTTGCGTATGTTTCTTAGTCGGGATGACTTAGATCGTCTGTTCCCACAGACGGCGCCAAATGTTAATGCAAGGGTTTGCACAACGGTTCTTCACGAATCAAGCTCGAACCCGGTCTCCGGTCACGACCTGAACACTTAGTGTGGACCTGCACAACAGGGTAAACACTCCGACGCTCAAGTCAGTATAGGTCGGACTCCGTATTTTGTTCGAGGTGAGATTCGATGCCTGAGCGTGAAATGAAGCCCTCTATTTATAGGTGGTGGATCCGATAGTACACACGACCGACGGTTATATGTCTTTTCTCATGTCGGACCTGTCGGGTTCCGAGCAGATCGAACCCCAACCAGGTCGAACCTTGGCGTCTATACTTGGCCTTTTTTGTAATGGGTAAACCCGGTTACCTCGACAGGGCCGAGGTGGGCCTGGGCAATTCTTTTTATTCAATTCTTCAAACATCAATAGGTGTCCTCCACGTGTCCTTGGTATTTCTACCCCCAAACATACTGTGTTATACTTGTATTAACGTGAAATGTATGAAATTTTTATTTTAATTAACAATTTTTCTTTTCTTAACCATATTATAAGAATAGATATTCGGGCTCATAACCAATTTAAAAAAAATACTAATATCTAACCATTTGGTTTATATTCACAATTTAGATGAAGAAAAAAAACAGGGAATCAGAAAATTGTTTTTTAAGATCCGTTTAGTGTGGGTTTTATTTTTAAAATTTATTTTCAAAAATCAATTTGATTTTTGTTTAATATTTTTTTATAATTTTCTCCCTCTAAACTTTTCTTGCTCCAGAATTTCTTGTAAATCTTATTTCTCTTCTCTCTCTTTTATTTTTTTTTTGTTAACAAATATATTTTTATTAAATTTTCTCTCTTACTGTAATTTTTCTTTTTATCTCGAATTTACCCTCTTATCTAACATATCTTTTTACTCTCAACTTTATTCTCCCTCTACAATTTCTTTTTTTTTTCCTCCCCTATTTTTCTCTCTAATTTTTTCTCCAACTAATCTTCTCTTCTCTCTCTAATTCTTTTCTTCATCTCTCCAAATTAACTATTAAAAAAAGTCTCTATTTCTCTAAGTTATCAAACCTGTTTAGTTTTGTGATTTAAAAAAAAATCAAAAAATCAAAATTAAAATAGTCATGAGACAGGTATGATTTTAAGGTTTCAAGTGATAATTCGTCAAAACGAACATAGTTTAGCAATAATTAACATTTACCTTCAACCACAAGGTTGTGAGTTCGATCCCCACATGTTGTATTAAAAAAAGCGATAATCCAACCCACAAATTTGCCTCTAGGCTCTATTCTCTCTAATTATTGTTATTGCTTTACTTATTCAATGTTTGGTAAGGTAAAATTGATCTTTGGACTTAATTATCAATTTACAATAACTTGCTTTTGGAGGAGTAATTAAGGAATTCACAGCTATATAAAGGCAGAGGAGAGTTCAATTCAAAAGCAGAATTAATCAACAAAAGGGAACCCAATTATATAATCAAATATGGGTTCTTCTTCTTCAATGGCCTGCCTTGTTATGGCAGTTTTGGTGGCAGTTTTAAGCTTAAGCTTTCCCTCCACAACTGCCCAAGGCTATGAGGATTACTTCACCCCTCCACCGCCATGGGTCTACGACTCTCCTCCAGACTCCGACTCTCCTCCTCCACCTCCCGTTCATTACTCTCCTCCAGACTCCGACTCCGACGACT